GAGTCTCAGTCTCAAAAAAACAAAAAAAGAATTCTCTGTGGAACTGGATCATCTGCCTACAAAACACCTACCCAAATTCCTATTAAAAGAAAAGGCAGGTAAGAACCAACTGACTTGGTCCAGTTCTTGGGGACCAACACTGAAGCTTAAGGAGCAGAAGTGATCAATGCAAATTTGAATCCAAAGTATTTCCCTTAAATTAAATGAACTTGAAGAGAATAAAAGTTGAACACCCTTTTTGTTCACTGCCCTTGATTTTGTGACCTTGCACATCTATGTGGGTAATGCTGGCGGAGGGCTCTTTTTTCTCTCCATGGCAGTAGGCAGCAGGTATAGCAGGAATGTTTCTGAGTACCTTCCTTTAAATAGTTAAAGGCACAGTGCCAGGATGAGGGCATGGTGACTAGAACTGAGTACCCCTCTAGACTTCTTTAGGATGATTTTGTGCTTGGTAGTCAATGGCAGGTGACTGGATGCCAGAGGATCAGATTACAGGTATGAGCCACCAAGCAGTGCTGAGACTCTGTATCTTTAAAACAAAAACAAGGTGGGGAGGCCTGGTGGCTCACGCCTGTAATCTCAGCACTCTGGAAGGCTGAGGCCAGTGGATCACCTGAGCTCAGGAGTTGGAAATTGACCTGAACAAGAGTGAGACCCCCTGTTTAAAAATTAGCCGGGCATTGTGGCCAGTACCTATAGTCCCAGCTACTTGGGAGACTTAGAGAATCTCTTGAGCCCAGAAATTTGAGGTTGCTGTGAGCTATGATGCTACAGCACTCTACCCAAGGTGACAGAGTGAGACTTTATTTCAAAAAATAAATTAATTTTTAAAAATGGGGGTGGAGGGGTGGCGCCTGTGGCTCAGTGGGTAGGATGCTGACCCCATACACAGAGGGTGGTGGGTTCAAACCCAGCCCTGGCCAAACTGCAACAAAAAAAAGCCGGGCGTTGTGGTGGGTGCCTGTAGTCCCAGCTACTTGGGAGGCTGAAGCAAGAGAATCGCCTAAGCCCAGGAGTTGGAGGTTGCTGTGAGCTGTGACGCCATGGTACTCTGCCAAGGGTCATAAAGTGAAAAAAAAAAAAAAAAAGATAGTTGGCAAGTTTGGGACTTGCCAGGCACCTGTGGGTTGGTATCGTGTATCTAAACTGCCAGTGTATAAACACATGTTGGAATTCCTTGTCTGCATCCTCAAGAAGCACACTGACCCTTAGACCTCTCTGCGAAGTAGGTGTTAGCTGTAATGTCCCATTGGACTTACTTTGATCTTTGGCTACCTTCCAACCTAATTCAAAATAAAAATGGTCCTCAGAGATAAGAGTTTAAACAGGCCTTCTAGGAGCCTTTCAGTTCTCAGGTTGGTCAATGATGGACAGTAAGAGAAGGAGAGATCCTGTAACTATCCTAATTGAGTCTGGGCTTCCCCTCTCAAGAAACTGGCCTGGATTAAGCGTAGATCACCCTGCCACAGTATGACCACAAGGATCTCTGAGACTCTCCAGTCAGAGTTTTTATAGCAGAGTATTGTCTGGCCTGTTTGCATAGTCATTCTGCACTCAGAAGCCCTGCTTTCTTTTTTTTTTTTTTTTGAGACGGAGACTCAAGCTATCCCCCTGGGTAGAGTGCCATGGCATCACACTCACATCAACCTCCAACTCCTGGGCTCAAGCGAGTCT